CTCTTCATCAATTACTCTTCAACCTTTGTTATTCAAATAATGATCTATTCATTGCGGTGAGAAAAATATCAATATCATAATCCAAATACCAAACCGCTGCTTCATTCATATGTATCAGAGTTTCTGAAGATCAATGGAAGGTGACTTGAGTTCTAGTTGTTGAAAAACGCGATGTTCTTCGTGCATCCACATGAGATAGACAATTTCAAAAAGCTAGGAGTTGCTGCAGGAGAGTGCAATCTAGGAGAGTTTTGGAAAATGCAACTGTAAGTTATAAATCATTTATAGTGGATTGTTGACTGACAAAGTACCCATATTTTTTACCCAGTTGGATTTCTCTGCGATCAATTTTGTGTTATTTATTGCTTTCATAATTGCAGTAATTCAACATAGGAAAGTATGAATTGCATGATTAACCATCTAAAAATAATTAATAGTGATTTGTTGCTATTTCATTGTAAAGTAATTTTAATTCCGCATAATCACCTATTCACCCTCCTTTAGGTGTTGTTAGGGTCAAATTACGTATTTTCAATTGGTATCAAAGGCTTAATTCGATTCCTAACCCTTAATAAATTCTAGATGAGTTAGTAATTATTCGTGCCTTCATTTTTTTACGGAAGCAACTATGCTTATTGGAAAGTTCGAAAGAGAGTATTAAACAACTTGACATATGCTAGCTATGTATCTTAGATTGAGCCTATAAAGGTCAAAGAAGCTCTCAGGGATGAATGTTGGGTAACGTGATGCATGAAGAGTTATATCAGTTTGTGAGAAACAAAGTTTGATATTTAGTTCTCAGGCCTAATGATTGTAATGATATAGGTACTAAGTAGATATTGAAGAACAAAATGGATGATCAAGGTACTATAACTTGACATAAGGTTATGTTAGTAGCCCAATGATATACTAAGGTTGAAGGTATAGATTTTGATGAAACATTTTCCCCGTTAGCATGACTTGAATCCATTAGAATTCTCCTAACTGTTTCCTGCACTTTAGGATTCAGATTATGTCAAATGGATGTCAAGAGTGTCTTCCTAAATGGAATACTTCAGGAAAAAGCTTGTGTTGAACAATTTAAAGGGTTTATTGATCTTAAATATCCACATTATTTTTATATGTTGAATAAAGCTTTATATGGGCTTAAACAAGTTCCAAGAGCTTGGTATGATATGTTTACTACATATCTCATGGAATATGGTTTCTCGAGAGGTGGTGCAGATAGAACCCTATTTATAACATGTATTGAGGAAATTATCACCATAGCTCAAATCTATGTTGATGACATCATTTTTAGCTTTCTTGTTGATTCTCTTGCTCATGATTTTGCTGAATGCATAAAGTAAGAATTTGAGATGAGTATGATTGGAGAATTAAATTACTTTCTAGGTCTCCAGGTTAAACAAACTAATGATGGGCTGTTCATATCATAGTTGAAGTATGCAAAAAATATTGTCAAGCGTTTTGGATTAGACTGCAAGAAACATACTAGGACCCCCAAGAGCACCAGTGTCAAGTTAGGTCATGATGCTACTGGTAAGAGTGTTGATCAGACACACTGTCTCAAAGAATGATAGGCAGTTTACTTTATCTCACTGCTAGTAGACCTAACTTAGCCTTTAGTGTGGGGGTTTGTGCACATTTTCAGGCTAATACCAAGGAATCCCACCTGAGCACCGTGCTACGTATCGTTAGATATGTAAATGGTACCGTTGATTATTGGATCCTGTACTCTCGGGATTTTACTCTTGATCTTGCTAGATATTCCGATGCTGATTAGTTTGAAAATGTCAATGATAGAAAAAGTACTACTGGAGGATGCTTTAATGTTGGTGCTAATCTTGCTGCTTGGATGAGCAAGAAACAAAATTCTATTAGAGCCTGAAGATATAGCCCCAAGAAGTTGCTGAACACAACTGCTTAGGATGAAGTAGATGCTGAGTGATTATAGTATTGAATAGGGAACTATGACTGTATTTTGTGATAACACTAGTGCCATTTATATTTTCAAAAATCCCGTTCAACACTCTCGAACCAAACATATTGATATACGTCATCATTTTATTAGAGAGCTTGTAGAGAACCGTGTTGTAACCCTTGAGCACGTCTCTACAGAAAACCAATTAGCTGACCTGTTTACAAAGCCATTGGATGGTATGAGATTTGAATTTCTTCGTATGGCTATTGGTGTTTGTGTACCTCATTGATTGTTTTTTATGCATGCTCGTTCTTTATCATTATGTACCTTATATTTATGCTTGCCTCATCATATTCTTACTTTTATTTTTGTGTGTTGTCATCTTTTTGTGTGTCATACTTTCTATTTTGAATTGGAAAACAACAAAAACAATACAAAATTTGTTTAAGAAAAAGATTCAAATATGAATGTTGCTTTTACATCTTAACATATGATGTATTTGGATCTGTTTGTTGTGATCAGGTATAAGGCTAATCAATAAACTGTAACATCATTTCCATTGCTGGATTGGGTTATTCATGGAGTTCTTAGTATATAAGTCTTCATGTACCATCTGCACTGTACACACTATGATATTGTAAGTAGGATTCTACCACGCGTGTGAGATTTGAGATGTCAATCACTTGTTCGTAAGGTGACTTTGAACATGAATTGACCATATATATTAGACCTAAACTCAAGTTTATCCTTGTTATTAAAAAAAAGAGCTCAATATCTTGTGTTTTTTTTTTTGGAGCCTCAATTAAGCCTTCAGGGTTACTCAAAACCCGGTGCCTATGGTCAACTAACTTAGGTTAACTGGCTTAAAGCTCGCTATAGGAGTCATTTTAGTCGCTTAATGAAGAAAAGTTTGCACTTAGGATGAGAAATATAATATTGAGCTTTGTTTATTGTATGATGTGAAATAAAATATTCTGCTCATACTCAGGGGGAAAGAGTACATCCATTCATTATGAGCTTTCTGTTATAAGTTTTATTATTCTTTAAATGGTTTGACTTTCATAAATATGAGAATAAACTTATTGGTAGTGGTGTTTAGCACGTCATTTCTCACAAATTTAAGGTCGAAGTCCTATTTTCAAAGGATTAGTGACACTTTATACATATGGATCACTTATACAATTTACTCCATAATAACTTGAATTAAGTGTGTGAGAATGTTTACTATTCATTGCTTATCTTTGTGCATGTTCATAACGGTATTTTTGAGATATTTTGTGTTAATGCTAAAATATTATAATCCAAATGGAGGGTGCAAAGCCTTTTTGTATGATGTTCTTTGGCTATACATTATTCCTTTGTCATTTTATGACAAAAATGGGGAATAGGTGTAGGTATTCTTTTTATGATGGAATAGTATTTTGATGATGTATATGATTTTATCTTCTTGACTTGATGTATCTACACATTTTTGATGAAATACTGTATTGCTAATTAAGTTTTCGATGTTTTGTAATATCAATGTTTTGTTTTGGTTTATTGGGTTGCATTGATATTACATCTTAATTTAACAAATGATATGACACTGAAAAATAGATTATGAGTTAATAACTGCTTAATTAATTTTTACACTTGGGGCCTGTTTGATAGACCATTATTTTCCATGGAAGTTGGTTTATTCTATCTTTTTTTTTTTTGGGCAATAAAAATAAATTCTATCCCCAATTATAAAAAAAATTATCACTTTAATTGACAATTTTCATGTAAAATAAAGGCAAACGAACGTAAAAAATTTTCCTTTTTTTTTTTGGCAATCCAAACAAATTATATCATCAATTGTAAGAAATTATATCCATTTAATTGACAATTTTCTTGAAAAATAAAGCCAAACGAATATCAAAAGATAGAAAATTTCAATATTTTTCAGGTAGAAAATTATACGAGACAAGCACAATTAATTGAAAATTCTCAGTAAAACAAATTCTAGGCAATTTAATTCACTGCAATTCATTTTCTTTCCACCTAAACTCCATCTTTGAATCAAACGAACCCTTAGTATTGCTTGATTAACTGCTTAAATTGGTGTTACACTTAACACTGTTTCACATACATTTTACACTGGGTACTTGTGTTGTTTATTTTAGGAAATTGGTTTTGATATATGAAAAGCAAAGTTTGATCAAAACAGATTTTGGTTTTGTCAGTTTTTAAGTATGTATTTTTTACTACTGCCTTGACTTTAGATTGTAGTTTTGTCACAAAATGTCAAATGGGGAGCTTGATAGGTATTTAATGTCATTGACAAGTTTGTGAACAAAATGGACTTAACTTGATATGTTGTAAAAGTCAAGGAGTAATGTGCAAATAGTAAAAAGTTGTATTATATTAGGTCTAGAGTTTGAGAATGGAAAAGAAGGAAAAATGGCTCCAGAATATCGCTAGCTTATCATCAAGGTTTGGCTCAAGTGTTAGAAACAAAAATTGAGTCGCCTGCCTATCGCCTCGCCTTCGCTCGAGTGACAACCTGTCGCTCGACTGTTGCTCACCCTTCGCTCGAGAGACAGTGCTATCCATGAAGTTTTTAATTCTTTTTTTAAAGGCTTTTTATCCGACCCATTCATTCCTTAACCTAACTTATAAATAACAAATTGACACTGGGCAAAACAGTGATTATTCTACGTACTAGTTTTACCAGCAAATCCACAGGGAAGAACACAAGATTAACGTCGAAAACACAGAGAAAACGTCTCTGAAGTTTAAAGAATTTTATTATATCACGCAATGATCAAAATAAGTCTACAAGCCGGACTTTATAGTAAAAATTCGAATTTTACTGAAAATGGAAAAATTCCAAAAATCACACTAAACAAAAATGCGGAATAAAATAAGTAGTTTGGGAAAAAGCTATCCCAAATCGGGTTAAAAATCATCTCCCAACATACAATCGAAATATTATAAAAAATAGCAAATAACTATCACAGCACAAATTAATTCCTTGACCCATATTATCTAGATGAGTAATTCATTATTCGTCCCGTCATATTTTGATGGCAGTGATTATGCCTATTGGAAGGTTAGCATGAGAGCTTTTTTAAAATCCCTGGATGAGCATATCTGGTTTAGTGTTGTGAACGGTTGGATTGTACCTAATTCTACGGTTAATAATGAAGTAATCCCCACTCTCATTGCTAATTGGACTAGAGTGAACTCGGATGAGTGTAACAGGAATAGCAAAGCCTTACATACCCTATTTATGGCAGTATCCTTGGAAGAGTTTAGGCGAGTGTCAATGAATGAGGAAGCTAAAGAGGTTTGGGATATTCTACATACCAAACATGAGGGAACTCAGGTGGTTAAGAACTCTAAGTTCCGGATGCTGACGACTAGGTTTGAAGAGATTATAATGAAAGAGAATGCG